TCCCCCCCCCACCCTCCCCCCCCCCCCCCCCCCCCCCCCCCCCCCCTTTATAAAATTTATAATTCAAGCTGTACAATTTCTTAAACTGTGGGAGAAATGCCTCTACCATAAGCAACTCCCCATTAGCTATTAATCAGAACATTGATTGCCTCACTTCAGTTGTGGTCAGAGATGTATCAATTTCTCATCACCCTAAGTGTACAAGACGATAGTCCACAATAAACTGTTTTTATCCAAACTGCTACTATTTATCAACCTGTACAAACATGATTTCTAAAATTAGGGAGTTTAAATGCCCATGGAAAATCTTGATTGTCATTCTCTAAGTATTGTACTGTTTCAATAACTTCTCAGTGGTTCTGTATCATGCACCCTGTAAATAAATGTGTTTTATCTTGTACGCTATGGTCTGACAGCGTGCCATTTTTCCACCAGAGAAGTAACGTAAATGAAAGCTTCCCCAGTGATCAACAGGAGTAATTTGTTTTGGGTATGTTATCCATCAACAGCATACAAAATAGGAGTAGAATACTCAGATCCTCGAGCCTGCTGTGCTATTCAATAAGACATACATCAAGCCACGGATTTGGATTCTACTCCAGACACAGTCAGGATATTATAACATGTCCCCAAAGGCACTGTCGACAAGTGTTTTACACTAACGAACTTGTTCACAAACCATTACAGTACCCCAGTTCTACATCCAAGTGTTACACTGCAAATGACCTGACCCTACCAGTACTATATACTAGAGTTATATAGTGACCAACCTGTCTCTGCCAGTACTGTGTCATGGTCTTATACAGTGACAGCCCCATCTTCACTCATACTATAATAGTGTTATACAGTGACTGACCTGTCCCCACCAATACAATATCCCAGTGTCAGACAGTGACTGGCGTATCTCTGTCAGTACTGTATACGTGTTAGAGTGACAGACCTGTCCTCATCAGTACAGTACAATGTTATCATGACAGACCTGACCCCCACCAACACAGTACACCAGTATTACACAGCAACACTCCTGTTGCCATCAGCAACACACTTCAGTGTTAAGCTGTGCCAGACCTATTTGCATGTCAAAGCTTTACAAATGAAAATTCTCCACATTTATGATCTAGAAAGACAATCTATTAGGGCAATTTCTAACAGTTTATGTGACCACATGGTAAAGGTTCACAGATTTCACTGAAATTTCCATAACAGTGCAGATTCATACAGCGATTGGGAACTAGGCATGTGATGAATTTCTTTTATAAATCTCCACTATGATTCTGCACCAGTCATTGGTTTGTACCAGCTACACCATTGTGCCAGTAATGTTAACTGTTACTGCGAATTTTGATGATTTGTATAATCTTGGAGCTGGCCATGTGTGATGTTTTCTTGTTATGTATATCTTCCTGTAGGCAACTCCTGAAGACACCAGTAAGTACTAATTGTCCATGAGCTGTAAATCATTAATTTCTGATTCTGACTGATGCATCCAAATTAAGCACACATTTGATGTCAAACGGACTCTTTAGCAATGCACAATTAATTTGGGGCAACCGTAGACCAGCAACTTTATCTGTAGTGATGGGTGCTATAGAAAATTGCTTTAGAGATGGTGTAGATTACCCTAGATGTTTGCATGCTGGTAATGGCTTGGTGGGCACAGCTGATGATTTGGTGCGCACTTTCCACTGTCATAGAGAACACCTCTATGGATGACTGCTTTGCTTTTTAAATTGTTTTTGAACTAAGTTAGAACCTCCCAAGTGTTTATCCTGTCCTCTGATGTATGAAATATTCCAACTATCAGCTCTTTTGCCCCCCCCCCCCCACTGTTAATTTCCATGTTGTTATCATCCCAACTGAGTGATTCTAATACTGGACAAGTCAGCTCCCACAGAATGAAACCTGGCTTAATGCTTGCATCAGTTACCATGGTGGTTTGCCAATGGACATATTCACATTAGGAAAACTATATGTATGACAGTTTAGAAAGATCTTATCAGCAGCAAAAAGAATAATTCACCCTTTTCTCCCCCAGCCATGTCCTTTACAGATACTCAATCCCACTGAAGTATCACTCCAATCTTAATTTGAGGAATTCTTGCTCAACTGACGATTTCCAGATTGATGGCCTAGAGACTTATTTCTAGTTCTGGGGGTCTGGATTCCTTTCCATTTCTGACAGCCAAGCGACTTCTACAAACTCAACTTTCTGTCTGGAGTTTTGCACACAACTGACAGACTATCTTTCTGCTAGAGTGAAACTGTTCTTCTGAACTAAAAATCTGATTGTTCAAAACTGAAACCTAATTCTTCTGGACTCCATTCAAACCAGGTGGTATCTGGTCTGTTTTTCTGTATATCATCCAATTCAACTTCGCAAACACTTTTCTGCAACTAACTTCCCACCTGTCTGATTGAGGCATTTAACTTAAAGTTCATGCTTTCTTGGAAATGATGGATTTAGCTCACTGCCAAATGACTTTGACCTCTTAAAAGAGGTCATAAAACTAAAGTCACAAAGCTCTCTCTAGTTTAAAACTCAAACTGTGAATGATAATACTATATACCTTTATTACAATATTCAGCTGTAGTCTATAGAAAGTACACCTGGTAGTGCCACCTGAACTTGAAGAATGTCTTACACTCACTCAGCATTTGTAGTTCAGACTTTTAAATGTAAATGGCACTATGCAGGAGAAGAAAAACAACTGGTGATTACAGCAATTGTATTAGTTCACTGTTTTGAGTGACTTTGGACAAAGGATTTTTGTAAGTTTGACTGCAGCTCATTTGTTCCATCCAATACAGATTTCTAGCATTGTTCTCGTGTGGTAACTTGGCTTAGTGCTCATTGGCCAAAAGTCAACTTCCACAGACACACACACACATATTCATTCACACACCAAAATGTGCTTACATACTCTCACACATAATGGGCATACGCACTGACACACAAGTACACACACAGCTACACCCACACACAGACATGATTACACAGTATGCACAGACATATCTATTACATGTAAACAACCATTTGCGCACATACGCTGACAACCACACATGAATGGACAAGCATATACACCCAGACATGCAAGAACACACACAAAGCAGGCATACACACAAAGATATAAACACAGACACATTGGCATGCACAGTCTTGCATGTAGACGCATGGGTCACACATGTACACACACACAGGCCCAGACACACGTGAAAACATAGGTGACACACGCATGCCTTCCCCACAGCACATACAAATACACACATAAACACTTCGAGACAGAGACGTGTACAAAGATGCTTTCCCATAACTGTACCTGAATAATGATGGGGAGCAGGAATCACAACATGATTTATTCTATTCATAATATAAGGAAACTGAGGCAAACAGGAGCATTCCTCTAGCTGTTTGTGGTTAGGTTTGGCTCACAGAATAGGCTGGGGAATAAAATCTGGGCCTTTTCTACACTGGGGTCTGTTCAACACCAGGAGTGGCCAATTACTCTCTCCTGTCTCTTATCATCTGAAAAGGTTAAGTGTGATCACTAAGGCAAGATTATGGACATTGGAAGAGATCCTCACGCTGGTGTCCCCGTGATGTAACCAGTGTCTTAGTACCAGCTATTATTTCCCACCCCAGCTGTCCTGCAGCCACTCCAAGGCAGTTTGTTGATCTGCTGAACTTTGCCTGTGCAAACAAGAAATGGAAAGAAACACAATTGCTGCCTGACTATCACAGAAAAAGCACCCATCCCACCAATATGTGATCTTTTCTTTACCTTTTTCTCATTCATGGGATACGGATGCCAGCATGAGTGCAGTTAAGTGTCAACCATATGCTGTGGGTCTGAGTCACATGTAAGCCAGACCAGGTTTAAAAAGAGGCTTCCTTTCCTAAAAAGGCATTAGTGAACTCGATGGGTTATTTTGGACAACGATTACATGATTGCCACTGGAGAAGTTTTAAACATTTCAGATTTTTATCGAATTCAAATTTCACCATCTGCCATGATTGGATTCAAACCCAAGGACCCAGAATAGCCAGATGTTCTGGATTACTAGTGTAGTGCTATACTAGACTACACCATCACCGTCCCTTAACCTCGGCCCTATAAGGTGAAACACTTAGTCCTCTGTAATTACGTCAAACACTTTGGTTTTCAGTCTCCTCATAGTGACACTGCTTCAGCACGACGTGACTGGGACCATGTACTTTATGAGTACGAAAAATCAGTCCCACAACTCATTACAGAGGCTGCATCCTTTGTGAAACAATCTCCGCCTTTAACTTTTCAACCAAGGGGAGCAAGACATCCAAGGCTGCTTCTGCCTTTGGCACTGCACTTTCCAACAAGGTTCACTGGATAATGATCAAGGGCAGGAAATTTTTTGACAATTCCAAGTTCCCCGACCTTCGTCCCGCGATCACAGAGGCCAGTGATAGTAACTTTGACCTGGCCGCAGTCCAGCTTACTCGGCACAGGTCAGGGAGGGACTGTGGGGACATGCATTCAGTGTAACACACCAATTTGTATATTTACCCACTCAACTAAGTAACATGTGGCAAATTGAAGCATCACAAAGAGAAAAAACATACCCACGCACTGCACCTTTAGCAACTGGACATAAACTTGGACAGCGGTTATGTTCTGGTCCAATCCTCATGGTAATACCCTGACCAATCAACGTTGACTCGCCTAGTCTGATTTTAAACAAAAACCTGGCAGTTAAGTGTTCCCGGACTCATTCTCCATGGCAAAGCCTCTACCAATTAGAGTCCCCTTGCCAACCAATCAGCACCCTCTGCTCATACAACATAAATTCCCTTGTTCCCTTCAAGATTTTGTATTCTTATGATTCGGTCCTGATCAACGCAAGACGAAAAACATCTACAGTGTCCCTTTTTTTTTCCAGCAATTTTCAGCTGAAGCAATGACCTGATCAACTAACTTGCCCCTTATTCTCTCTTCTCTTACTCTTAGACTGGTTTCAGAACGCCTATGGAACTCTCTCTGCTGAGTGATATGGACAACCACACGTGAATCCCATGGTGATCTCAAGCTGACAGTGTCAGAAGGTTAAGATGAATCCCATTCTATGCTGCAGTCATTATTATTAACATCCCAAGACTATATTCACTGTTCAAGCGCAGGGGAACACCAAGGCAGAGAATCTGTTTTTAAATACCAGGAACAATCAACATTTCTTGCTGACAGAGAATCCGGGTGGCACTTGTATCAAAACTGCCCTTAGGCAATCATGTAATGCATTGATTCGCAAGATCATGACCTGTGCAGAATAGGAAATAGTGCAGCATTTTCTGGCGGTATGGGGAAGGATGCTTCCAGTTTTTCAGTTCCAAGGTATGAATCTCCACAAGGATTGACCGGAGTTTCCTGGATTGACTTGGAACCATCTAGGCTGTTCATGTACGGTGAAATGTACACAATGCCATTCTGAAGCCTTATAAATATATTTGGACAGTATTTGGATCTGTATTTGGACAGTAGAACATAGATGAATTCCTAACATTTATGCAGTGTTGCATTTGTTTTTGTCTGTGGATAAATGGGAATTTGTATAGACCTTTGGGTTGTATCAGTGAAGCAAATAGCAAGCCAAACATATTCACAGACTTTCTAAGGGTGTCTGAAAATGTACAGGCGGGGCATTGTGGGTTGGGATGCAGGTTGAGCATATGGGAGAAATTATATTTCATGTCTCACAAATCATTTCCCCCATGGTGACATCTAACTGCACAGTGCAATCTAACTGTCATTGGTAGATCGCCAGTGACACATTGGACAAAGGCAGCATTGTTCATAATAGAGTGAGAACTCGCCTGTAGCCAGTTGGCAGACTCACTGTTCCCAATCTGTCTATGGCTTCTTGCCTACCTACCATGGCTGTCCTTTGTTTTTCTGACTCTCTCTCTTCTGGGAAAGCAAAAAGGGAGGGAATGAAGTCCAGAGGCAGGCTATCTTACCATCTGATTCCTCCTGCATGACTAAAAAAAAAAATCCATGAAATCTAGAAGATGAATAGCTTCAAAACACTGGGGTTAAATTAAGGAAGTTGTTGAGCCCATCATCCCAGAAACAGTATCTCTTCTCACAAAATCCAATGTACCCCTTGGTTAGGTGCATCCTTACCATGAAGTACACATGGCCTTCCTATTTATACTTCCAATATGTAAGACTCTGCACTTTTCAGAATAAAGATAATTTTCCACATCAAAGCATATAGACTGAGACTGCAACTCATTCATGTACATCAGCAGAAAGAGCCCTGCAAGTGAACCTCTGGGGCAGCCCGATCAGCATCCAGCCCCATCCACTGCTACCGTTATAATAGCATTGTTCCTTCACTTCAGCTTACGCCATACTCTAACTATTGTCAAACCTCATCATTGAAGACAGGACCAGCACACCTACGTTATCAAACGCCATTTAAATGTACACTTTATCGGAGTGCTACCCTTCTACCATGTGGAACAATACCCAAATTGTGATCTCTGCAATATCTCCGACAGTCTACCCCTCTAAGGTTGTAATAATTATCATTTATCAGGTAATTTCCTCGTGGGTCCCTAGTTCCCGGGTCTAATTTTCCGACGAGTCTGTCATTTTAAGGTGTGGCTTCTCAATCAGTTTGTAGTTCCTGGATTTGACTGTCCAATCAGTCTGTGATTCTTTGCTGAGCCTTTCCAATGTGTCAATAGTTAGGGATGGGGATAAGAAATTTTGGCCTATATCCAATGAAATAAAAGAAAAACAGGTCTGCAGTTCCTAAGCGTGACCATCCACTTTATTTCACCTGGCAGTGACCTATTTTTCATAATCACACTGTCTGCCCATCGTATCACAGAATGATACATCACAAAAGGAAGCCACTGGGCCCACTGTACATGTGCCAGCTGTCTGTAAGCTATTCAATGAGTACCACTCGGAAACGGCTCCTGGTGAGGTTGCCAGCAGTGAAAAGCTGCCAGCCCAGGATTTCCACCCATCTGGTTCCTTCAGTGTCAGACTGCAATTAAATAACACTGGGCCTCAACAGGTGATGTGGGACTTCAAACAGCTCTCCAATCACTTGGGAGGGACCATAATAGAACTCAATTCCTCGTATTAACTGTTTCTCTGTCCACAGATGCTGCTTGAGCATTTCCAACATTTTCTGTTTTCATCATGTGTTTAACAGTGCAGTAATATTGATAGTTTCCTGACCATTATTGAGACTTATGGAGTCACAGAGTCATACAGCACGGAAACAGACCCTTCGGTCCAACCAGTCCATGCCGACCATAATCCCAAACTAAACGAGTCCCACCTACCTGCTCCTGGCCCATATCCCTCCAAACCTTTCTTATTCATGTACTTATCCAAATATCTTTTAAACATTGTAATTGTAGCCACATCCACCACTTCCTCAGGAAGTTCACTCCACATGTGAACCACGCTCTGTGTAAAACATTTGCCCCTCATATCTTTTTTAAATCTCTCTCCTCTCACCTTAAAAAATGCCCCCTAGTTTTGAAAGCCCCCATCCTAGGGAAAAGACACCTACCATTAACCCTATTTATACCCCTTATGATTTTATAAATTTCTATAAGGTCACTTCTCAGCCTCTTGCGCGCCAGTGAAAAAAAGTCCCAGTCTATCCAGTCTTTCTTTATAACTCAAACGTTCCATACCAGCAACATCCTGGTAAATCTCTTCTGAATCCTCTCCAGTTTATTCATGTCCTTCCTATAACATGGCGACCAGAACTGGACACAGTACTCCAGAAGAGGCCTCACCAATGTCCTGCACAAACTCAGATTTATTATTTAAATTTAAATTCCTGCCATGGTGGCATTTGAAACCTTGTCCCTCTGGATTACCAGTCCAGTGACATTACCACATCTCTCCCAGGAGTGCATTGGAACAATCGAGTCTAGAGTTAACAAAAGTATGAATTAAGATTTCAGCAGATCAGCTGATGTAGGAGTGAAGTTGGCTAATGTCACAGAGAGTCTACAGTCAGCGATTAGCCACTGCTACATGGTCATATTTTCAAAGAGGCAGAGGAACAATTGAGAAAGAAAAAACATACAGCTGTAGGCAAACAGTGATGCAAAGAAACAAAGTTGGAAGATTTTGTCTGCACTTTCGACTAATTGTCAGCAAGAAACACAGTGCAGGGGATACCAAAATCAAGATGCAGTACCCATAGCTCCAAGCTGCCGCAGCAGAGGACTATTGGACAGCAAGAGGTTTCACAATGGGAGTTATGTGGCAGTGAGCAGATCTAGAGACAAGAAAATAAAATCACCAAACTGTGACAGCTTTGTCAGCAGCAAACTAGGTAACCCTCTGTGGTCTCTCAAACTGCACGTTTCCCCCAAGAATAATGTTAGACAATTTAGAGGAACTTCTGTGCAACTCCCTGTAGTTAGCGTGGAGCTGGAGGAACACAGCAGGCCGGGCAGCATCAGAGGAGCAGGAAAGTTGACGTTTCCGAAACGTCAGCTTTCCTGCTCCTCTGATGTTGCCTGGCCTGCTGTGTTCCTCCGGCTCCACACTGTGTTATCTCTGATTCCAGCATCTGCAGTTCTTACTATCCCTGTAGCTAGTGCCTTTCAGGAATTAGAAAATCCCATGCACGCCCACAGTCTTAGGAAGAAAACTTTATTAAACCTTTAAAGTCGTGTTAATGAAAACAAACTGCACTGTCCAGACCCGGACTCAACGTGAGGCATATAACTTGCTTCTAAAATCTATTACAGATCAGTTAAATAAGTCATGCTCCCAGGCCCGACCACTGTCCAAAAACAAAACTCACTTTTGCAGAGGGTTGCATTTTTGCCGAGGTTTCCTGATGTGATCATTATACATAGAGTAGGCAACACCTGGAAAAGATTGAAATTTCAACATCATTGGGTCACCACATTTCTTTTGCATGAGGATTTTAGCTCATTGCTGTCTCAGTTTGCAAACCAACAATCCCAGTTACCATCCTCAGACTGATGAATTTGATGATCACAGGTAGGGAATGATTGGGGTCTTGCCATTGACCTCAGTTTGCAAGAACTGGGAAGGGGGATATCAGCAAGGAGACCAGTTCAGGGATTACTGCTGGAAAGTTGAGGCAGGACCTGGGGTGGGTTTGCGTGCAATAACCCAGATGGTTAAATCTCACATTAAAAATGGATCCTTGGGCAAAGCGTCAGGGTAGGCAATATCTGAGATATCAGGAGTCAGGAGAGAAGAAGACAGGGGAGATTCACTTATAGCCCAGCTTTACAAGCATTGCTGAAATTGAAACTAGGTGGAAAAGCGAAGAAGGAAGAGGATGCTACCAAAGTTAATGAAGTGGAAACTGAATGAACTGTAAAAATTTAAGATGTTTTGATGTCATGGTAACTATGAATAATGAAGAGTTATTTTGAAACAGATGAGACACTTGGACATTGTTTGGTAGCCCAATCATCCAGCCACCAACTCATGCTCACCCACTTATACTTGAAAGACTGACATCCAATTTCCACAGATCTACTCTCCCGTTCCTGAGATCTGCCACTGATTCTGTGAGCAAAGACAATGCCCAGTGCAGAATCAAGATCATAGGGCTAGGAACTCACAATGAGCTCTGGCAAATCTCTGTCCTTGGGGTAGGGAGAGGGAGGCTGGATGGAGTACCAGTTTGTAGAAACAGGCTAGGAATGGAGAGGGAACAGCCAAGGAGTGGAACCCCAAATGGCAATGAAAAGGGGTGAAGACATTTGAAAAATGTACGTACGAATCAAATTCGTTCCCCCACCACCCCATGCCCTGGACCCCACACATATTGCTCCAAACCCCGACCCTCCTATCCTATTTGTAGAAACTGCACATGGATAGCACCTACACATGACCAGACCACATCCATACACTCCCTCTCTAATCAACAGACCCTGTAAATATTCCCCCCAGCAACATGTGGACTCTACGTATTCTCCCCATGCTCACCCCTCCCTCAGATTGTGTACTCGCACTCCCAAACCCCCTGATCCAGTACACTCTGCCCCACCCACAGCTCCCCAAATGGAACTACACCCCAGCCACCCACAGACCCCAGATTTGTGATCTTTTCCATCAAAGGCACCATCCAACCTACTGTGCAAACATATCCTCTCTCCCAGAAGAGGAAATACCCCCAGGCTGCTCACACCATATAGAAAACCTGAACGACTTGACTTTGCCCCATGAAAGAAACAAATAGATAAGATGTAAGCACAACTGGACACTTGGAAGTTTGAAGTAAAGAGTGGCAGATTGGTCACTGATGACAGTCTAACAGCAGCTCACTCTTCCAGCTGCTCAGCTGGCTGTGAAGTCCAAAGCATAGCACAGGGAAAAATTCCACATACGGCTCGATATTTCCCAAAGTACGCTTCTCGTGGACAATTTAAAATCATTGTTCTGAACAAAAGGAAATAAAGGTCTGATCTAAAAGAAAAACATTTTTGGAAATGTCTCATTCCTGAAATATTGCTCAAATTTTAAGAATCTTCTCCTTGGAATACTGGTGACTGACATTTTATGGCAGTGTGGGAAATGATTTAATGAGTGTTTATCTCTTACCCAAAGTCATCGCTCCCACCAGAAAGCCCTGTGCAGCCACCCTCATATGGATCAGATGCACCGATATTTTCTGCTTGGTTTTGCGCAGCTTGTGAAAGCCCAACGCCACGATAGCAAGACATCCCGCTATGCCTAAATCAAATAAATCCACTGCAAATTAGCAGGCAGGTAAACAAGCACTGGAGCAAGATCAGCCGACCCTCTCTCACCCACAATATTCAGCACACACCTATTACTTTCCACCATGTGCACACGGATGCAGGTTCCCCAATCCACATCATGATTAGTGATGCAGGGAGGAAGAGAATTGAAGTCCTCTAGACAAGAATTTAAAGAAATGGGGAGGAACTTAAAAAAGCAGGATCGCATACATAAGCGACATGCTAGCAAGAGTAGAAATGGGAGGATACAGCAGGTTAATGCATGGCCAGAAATGTGGTGCAGGTAAATAGAATATTCTTGGTCTCGGTGTGCTGCTAAACAATATTTACAGAGGTAAATTTACTAAAATAAAAACGTAAATTTCATATAAGAAACGCATCACTGCGGTTTCATCTTGTCACGACGCTACAAGGGAAAGACCATGTGACACTGCATCACTTCCTGTGATGATGTATACCATTTAGTTTGCATTCGACATAGCTAGACCTAACTCCTTATACTCCAAGGAGGGAGAGCTTTAGATTCCTGAGACATTGGGACCAATCTGTGACAGCAAGCATATGTACAAGATGGACAGGTTGCACCTGAACAGAGTTGGGACCAATATCCTAACGGGCAGGTATAGAAGGGAAAACAAACTAATTCATTAAGGGATTAGTCACCAAGATGTAATATTACACAGTAGAAACAGACGGCTTGGAAACTAAGTGGGAAATAACACAGAATTAAATGGGGTTGGTGAAATTATGAAGAGGTCTAAGTTATAGTTGAAGTGCATATGTTAATCATATTAGTGATTTGCAGGCACAAATCGCCCTGTGGGACTATGGTGCTGTGCTGATAATGAAAATCTGGTTCAAACAAAAAGGAAGGGTTGGATGCTCAATATTCCTGGGTGCAAAGTATTCAGGCAACAGAGGGAAGAAACAAAAGGAGATAGCATCACAGTCTGGATGTAGCCATTATTAGAAATAGAGAATGTTCTTGAGGGTCCAAAGACAAAATCTATTTCGTTGGAGTTGAGGAACAATATGCAAGGAAATTAGAGAGATGCATGGACCAGAGAATTAGAGAAGTGTTATGGTGCAGAAGGCAGCCTTTTGGCCCATTCTATTTGCACCAGCTCTCCAACTATTCTCCTGCCTTTTCCCCATACCCCTGAATGTTGTTCCTATTTAATGATCCAATGTTGTCTTGCTTTGGGCAGTGCATCCACAAACCACTCGTTGTGTGAAGTACTTTTTCACACTTTGCATTTGCTTCTTTTGCAAATAACCTTAAATCCTGCCCTCTCGTTCTTGTTCAATTTGCAAACACAATCAGTTTCTCCCTATCTACCCTAACCCCAGTCACCCATTCCCCACTGCCATGTGGAACAGTATTGAATGCCTTGTATAATGATAAACTATAAAGAGTGATAATATGAGACTTTAACTACCCAAAAGTATTCAGGAGAATGTTCTGGATCAGTGAGTTTCCTCTTTGATGATCTGATCCTGAGGAATAGACTGGCTCAAGTTGAGAATGTTACAGTTGTGCAGCTTTACTGGAATTGTGATGACAGTGTCATCAGCTTGGATTAGTTATTAGGAAGACAATCTGGAAATAAAATAATGCTGAATGAGAGCAAAGCTAATTTTAATGAATTGAGGTAGGATCTGGCCTGGATAAATTGGAATCAATGACTGCCAAGCAATCCTGTAATCAGGCAATGGGGGACCTTTAAAGAAGCGATGGTTCAGATGTGAAACAAACAGAGCACAAGCGCCCGGGATGATTGAGTTACAGCAGGATGAGTCAGAAAAACAAGGTCTATATGACACATATTAGCTCGATAATACAAGGAGGAATCAAGCTGAACAGAAAAGCTATTCAGAAATATAAAAGGAAGTAAGAGGGTCAAACAGACAGCACAAAACGACAGCTGACAGAAAAGTAATCCAAAAGCCTCCTAAGGCACCTTAAAATTGAAAAGGGTTTTCAAGGGGGTGCTGAGGCTGAATAGGGTCCAAAACGGAAACTTACTGAGGCCCAAGTACATTGTGTTTACCAAGGAAGAGAAGGGTGCTGAGGTACGAAATGGGATAACAATCGAAAGAAGTAGTACCAAAAAGGCTGACTGTAGTTAAAGGGGATAAGTTACCCAGTCTGGATGGAAGGGATCCTAGGTTGTCAAGGGGTAGGAGCTACACACATTATGGCCACAATTTTCCAATAGACACTCTGGTAAGCCAGAGAATTGGAGAATTGCAAATGATCTAAAGACAAAGTACATTAAGGGCAAGTGAGCAACTAGGGTGAGAATAGGGTCCCTTAAAGATCAATGAGGCCATCCATGTGTGGAACCACAGGAGACGGGTGAGATATTAAACGAATATTTTTGCATCAGTATTTACTATGGAGAAAGACATGGAAGCTAGGGAACTTGGGGAAATAAATAGGGATGTCTTGAAAACAGTCCACATTACACAGCAGGGGGTGCTGGAGTTCTAAAATCGTGTAAAGGTAGATAAATCCCAGGGACCTGATCAAGCGTATCCCAGGACATTGTGGGGCCCCTAAATATTTGTATCATCTACAGCCATGGGTGAGGTGCCAGAAGACTGAACGTTGGCTAATGTTTTGCCTTTATTTAAGACAGGCTGCAAAGAAAAGTCAGAGAATTATAGACTGGTGAGTCTGATGTCAGTGGTGGGTAAGTTGTTGGAGGGGATCCTGAGAGACAGGATTTACATGAATTTGGAGATGCAAGGACTGATAGGAATAGTCAGCATGGCTTTGTGTGAGGGAAATTGTGTCTCACATACTTGATTTTTATTTTATTTTTGAGGGTGTGACCAAGAGTATAGATGAGGTCAGAATGGTAGACATTGTCCCATGGATTTTAGTAAGGCCTTTGAAAAGTTCTCCATGGTAGACTGATTAGTAAAGTTGGATCATGTGGGATTCAGGGAGGGCTAGCTAACTGGATACAAAATTGGCTTGACAGAATGAGACAGAGGGTGGTGGTAGAGGGTTGTTTTTTGGTTTGGAGGCCTGTGACCAGCGGTGTTCCGCAGGGATCAGTGCTGGGTCTGCTGTTTATTGTTGTTTATATAAACAATTTGGATGAGAATATATGAAGCGTGGTTAATAAGCTTGCAGATGACACCAAAATTGGTGGTATAGTGGACAGTGAAGAAGGTTACCTCAGAGTACAACAGGATCTTGATCAGCTGGGCCAATGGGCCAAGGAGTGGCAGATGGAGTTTTTTTTTAATTCATTAACAGGATGAGGGTGTCACTGGCTAGGCAGCATTTATTGCCCATCCCTAATTGCCCAGAGGGCAGTTGAGAGTCAACCACATTGCTGTGGGTCTGGAGTCAGATGTAGGCCAGACCAGTTAAGGATGGTAGTTTCCTTCCCTAAAGGGCATTAGTGAACCAGATGGGTTTTTCCGACAATCAACAATGGTTTCATGGTCATCACTGAATTCAAATTCCACCATCTGCCATGGCAGGATTTGAACCCTGGTCCCCAGAATGTTATCTGGGCTTCTGGATTAACAGTCCAGTGATAATACCACTAGGCCATCACCTCCCCTATAGTTAAATTTAGACAAGTGCAAAATGTTGCATTTTGATATGATAAATCATGACAGGACTTACACACTTAATGGTAGGGCCCTGGGGAGTGTTGTCAAACAGAGACACTTAGGGGTTCAGGTACATGGTTCCTTGAAAGTGATGTCATAGGTAGACAGGGTGGTGAAGAAAACTTTCATTGGTCAGAGCACTGAATGTAGGAGTTGGGACATCATGTTGTGGCGAAACAGGCCACTTTTGGATTACTGTCAACAGTTCTGATTGTCCTGCTATGGGAAGGATATTATTAAATTAGAAAGAGTACAGAAGAGATTTACAAGGATGTTACACGACTGGAGGGTTTGAGTTATGAGGAGAGGCCAGATAGGCTGGGACTTTTTTTCCCCTGGAGCGTAAGAGGTTGAGGGGTGACCTTTATAGAGGTTTATAAAATCATGAGGGGCATGGATAAGGTGAATAGCCAAGGTCTGTTCCCTGGGGTAGGGGAGTTCTAAACAAGAGGGCATGGCTTTAAGGTGAGAGGGGAGATTTAAAAGGGACCCGAGGGGCAACTTTTTCACACAGAGGGTGGTGTGTGTGTGGAATGAGCTGCCAGAGGAAGTGGTAGATGCAGGTACAATTACAACATTTAAAAGGCACTTGGACAGGTACATGAATAGAAAAGGATAAGGGCCAACATAGGCAAATGGGACTAGTTTAGTTTGGGAAACTTGGTTGGCGTGGACGAATTGGACTGAAGGGTCTGTTTCCGTGCTGTTTGACTCTATGGCAGAGATCAATCATCTAGTTATACACTAGCGAATTTAACAGCAGTGGTAGGGAAACTTTAAGAAATAACAACCACTTGTACAAGCATAGATTAATAAAGAAAAGCCGGTGAAGATCTGTTATGAGTTAATCAAGTTTGATGAACTTGATTGAGTTTTTGGTAAGGTTGCAGAGAGGGTGGATGAGGACACTGCAGTTGATGTTAAGTATACGGATTCTCAAAAGGCTTCTAATAATATACATGTTAGGCTTATGAGCAAAGTTGAGCTTTGTGCTATAAAGGGGACAGTATTAGCACAGACACAAGATAGGCTTTGGGACAGGAAACAGCAGGCAGAAGGCAGATGGAATTTGATGCAAAGTATGACAGAATACATTTTTGTTGGGAAAATGAGCAGTCAATACAAATTAAATGTAAGTTATTAAAAGAACCTGAAAGTGTTGATGCAATATCTTTAAATACACAGGCTAGCACAGCTATCCGATAAAGCATATAGGATACTGGGATTTCTAGATAGAGGCAGATTTTAAAAAGCCAGTATACCTATACCTATATATTAATTGGGCCTCAGCTGGAAAAATGTTTGGCATTTTAAGAGAGACATAAAGGTTCCATGGGTGATTTGGTGATGGGGAGAAAAATCGTTCAGTTGTGTTTAAGAGCACTTCTGAATATAAGGAGAAAAGAGAGACATAAAGACTTTGGAGAGGATAAAGACTAGGAAGGTACCAGGGATAAGAGAGAATCATACCCAGGAACAAAAGAACCATGGGGCTGGAAACTGCAGAATCAATGGGAAGTCACAGATCTCGGGTCAGTTAGTCTGACCTCAATAATTGGAAAAGCACAGTGATCAACCACGAACCCCAAAAATTAAACTGAGCAGTATGGAATAAACCAGTAAATAAGATTCAATCTACCTTTGAAGAGGCAAATCATGTTTGAACACCCACAGGGTCTAATTTGGAGGATTGTCCTCTTTGGTTTAGGGTTCCCAAAGACAGACGCACAGACACACACAGTGATGAATGCACTAATTTGGTG